AAAAAGGGAAACACAGAAACCGAAGCAGGCTCCAGGCTCCGAGCAGTCAGCACAGAGCCTGACTCAGGGCCCAAAACCCATGGACTGTGAGATCATGACCTCAGCCGAAGTCGGATGCTTAACCAACTGAGCCACCCAGGTGCCCCTGAATCCTGACCCTTTTGAACAGTAGGCACCATGTACGTTGTAGGCAGTCAAGAAGTGTCTGTTGAACATCTGAATTTTATTGAGCCTCAATAACACATTAATCAATGATCCCCTTCTCAAATATATAAGCATAAGACACACTTTATCATTAAGGATATGTCTAAAGAGCTGTTGCAAGGATTCACAAGATCTCGACAGGGGGTGGAATGATATAAAGTGCTGAAAGAAAAGGGTGCAAACCAAGAATTCTTTATCCGTCAAAACTGTCCTTTAAAAACTAGACAGAAGTGAGGACATTCCCAGATAAAAGACCAAGGAGTTGCTTGTTAACAGACCTGCCCTACAGGAAATGCCAAAGGAGCGCCTGGGGTGACTCGGTCAAGCATCCGACTTCTGTTCAGGTCATGATCTCACGGTTCATGGGTTCTAGCCCCGCATCGGGCTCTGTGCTGATAGCTTGGAGCCTGGAGCCTGCTTCAGATTCTGTGTCTCCCTCTCTCTCTGCCCCTCCCCCACTCATGTTCTGTATCTCAGAAATAAACATTAAGATTTTTGAAAGATGCTAAAGGGAGTCTTTCAGGTTGACGTGAAATGGCACACGGCAGTAATTTGAAGGCATGTAAAGAAACCGTAACTACACAAGTAAATATTTGTAATCCCTCTGATTTCCTGCGTGATATAAAGGATAAATGCATCAGAAATGATGTCTGTGTTAATGGGCACAAAAGTAAACCTATAACTGACAGTGATAGGAGCATGGTGTCTCTTACTGAATCGAAGTTGGCATCAGCTCAAACTAGATTGTTACAAATTTAGAATGTTGGCTAAAATCCCCATGGTAACCATTAAGAAAATATCTTTATATACATAAAAAGAGGGGCGCCTGGATGGTTCAGTCGGTTAAGCGTCCGACTTCGGCTCAGGTCATGATCTCACAGTTCGTGGGTTCAAGCCCCACATCGGGCTCTGTGCTGACAGCGTGGAGTCTGTTTGGGAGTCTCTCTCCACCCTGTCCCCTTCTCTCTCTCTCTCTCTTTCTCTCTTTCTCTCTCTCTCTCTCTCTCTCTCTCTCTCTCTCTCTCTCTCAAAATAAACATTTAAAAATATTAAAAACACAAAAAACAAAAAGGAAACTAGGGGCGCCTGAGTGGCTCAGTTGGTTTAGCGTCCTACTCTTGACTTTGGCTCAGGTCATGATCTTATGGCTCATGAGTTGGAGCCCCACGTCGGACTCTGTGCTGACAGTTCAGAGCCTGGAGCCTGCTTTGGATTCTGTGTCTCCCTCTCTCTCTGCCCCTCCCCCACTTACACTCTGTCACTCTCTCTCAAAAAAAAAAAAAAAAACCACATTAAAACATTTAAAAAAACCTCACCGTATTAACTTCGCTGTTCATTTTCTTGACTTCCATCCTCACAACGGTCATATTCTTCACTCTACTGCTTACCCCACAGACAGTCCTGACTTGGCTCTTACCAACATCTTCAGCATCCACAATCTCAATTTCAAGTAATCCCTTCAGCACAGCGGTCTTGACTTTTAGTTCCACCCAAATGTACCCACGTATCCACCATTACTTCCCATGCCGCCCCGCCTCTGGCAATGCAGTTCTCTTCAGTTCACAACTTTTCCTCACCAACCCTACCACGTAAGAGTATGACCGAAAACGTAAAGAAAAACGATCACTTACACAAGCTGATAAGTCAACTATGCCTCAATAAAGCTGATGGGAAAATAAAAATGATCAGTTCTCTTGGATATTATGAAATGATGTACCTCACCTGATACTACTCTCTTTCTTAGAGTCTCCATTGCCTGATGTTAAAACAGCTATGCCAGCTTCCTGTTACCACTTGCACAATGTGTCTATTCTCTTCCCTTTTTTTTTTAATGTTTTTATTAAATTTTTTCTTAATGTTTATTTAACTCTGAGAGAGAGAGAGAGAGACAAAGTGCAGACAGGGGAGGGGCAGAGAGAGGGGGACACAGAATCTGAAGCAGGC